AACCGCTAGGTTGGCAGGAGCTGGGACAAGCGACGGGAGCTCACTCCGTTGCGTGGATTCAATCTTACGACTGCTTGGTCTTCTGACCCTGCAGCACAGGCTTCTGCGGTTTAGCCCGCAGAGCCACCACGTCCCCTATTTATGGTGGGTTTGTATAATTTTGTCTATAGCACCCTATGAGGGGACATTATACTGCCTTTCTCTGCAACTATTTGTATCAAAACAAAAAGTAACTTGATAATAATTACTCTTTCTCCACAAATAGCTCCAAGTAGTGCAGTCAGGCTACCTGCCACTACCCCTTTATTACTACTTCCAAAGAAATCTTTGCTTTGGAGTTTCAATGAACATTCATTTTCTTTCACCCTGTTCTTTTCATTCATTTTCTTCCCCCTGCTTTTTTTCCCACCACCACCTTAAGTGACTTTGAAAAATATACCTGCTTTAAAGGAATTTTCCTTAGCTAAACATTTTTCTCTCACGTGCTCCATTATTCTTCTAAGGAACTGGAAGATATTAAAGGGTTTTAGAGAGAATAGATACTGGAGAATGTGGGTTGGCATCTGGAAGAGATTTCTGAAAGTTTCCAATATTATCCTGGATCCTATTGATGTCTTATTACTAAGCCTCGCAGCTAGCAATAGACAGCATGATTTCTGTCCCTTATGATGATTACACAGCAGATTAATTTTTGGGTATCTAAACAAACATGTAATTGGCAAACTCATAGTACTGAGACAAACAGAAAACCTCTTGTGTGGATATTTGCGACTTTTTTTGTTCATTCAGAAGGACCTGGCATCATCAAAGTTTCTTTGAGCACCCAGTATTTAAAGATGGGGTTGAAATTTATTAGGTCTGCCTTTTTAGAAATGTGAGAGGAAATTGTTTGGTTTGTATTCTGCTGTGAACCTTCCAAAGCCAATATGCAAACTGAAACTACACAAAAGCATGCAGATTTTCAAGTGTGTATTTCTTTAAAAAAGCAAACGGATGCAGAAATGGAAATCTGAAAAATGAGGAACTGAGAAAAATGGAAATGGACAGATCTGTCTACTCTACTGAATATATAATTTTAAAATGACTTAAGATGGATACTATTTTACACTCACTACAGATCAACATGGAACACTGCTAGAACAAAACATGATGGGTACTATGTATTTTATGTTGCAGCTCATAATCCTTCTGAGTCATATTAAAATAATGGTACATGGAATTAGTATGTGTTGATGAAAAGCAATAGAAAGCCTGCACAGGATGAAGATAAGGGGGTGGGGATGAAAAACAGGTGACTGGAAAATGCCATAGAAAAATACATACTTTCTGAGAAACACAGATGGGAAGCTGTCTCAACCACTAGTGTTTAATATAGCTCATGTAAAAGAACTATGTACATTTTTATTGTTATCAGAATTTATGTTAGTATTATTAATTGGATGTGTGTTTGCCACACACCTCTAGGATGATGAAACCTAGACATCTGAAAGAGGGTACATACACTAGAGGATCCTCAGACATTGGCACTTATAAGATATTCTGGTTTTAAAACAAATAAATCTATTTTAATTAATTTAAATGTATTTATGTTTGAAGACTGCCAAGTCTTCTTTCACGAGATGGCATTATTCATTTTCCTCATTCATTTTATGTTCCTTGTCCTTAGATCTCAAAAGAAAATCTTCACAGACATCTTTTCCCATTTTGGCATTAAAATCCCCTATTATAAAATTCAGGTTTTGCTTTTCTGAATAATGACAACAGCTTTGGGTTCTTCCAGATTTGTTCTTTTTTCCCCCCACCTTTATATTTGCACAGTGTTGATGTCTATGGAATTTTACTTCTGGTACACATTATCTGGTCTAAGTGTACAACGAACTTTGTACATTTCTTTCACTACTGTGGTTTCAAATCTATATTATTATAGTGTGCTGATTTTCCACTGCCTTCCATATCTCTCTTACTGAGATGGACAATTGCACTGGCTACCATCACATCCAATTTGCTGTGCCAAAGTCCAGCTGTCAGCCCTTCTCTTTGGTCTCCAGTTAATACTGACATTGCCATTGCTCGAGGTCATGTTGGGATAAGAGGCACTTTAGTTCCTCACAGCTCCACAAATCTCCTGTTCAAGCTCCTCTGCCTGAAGGCATCAGCTTGTCCAGGGACTGGGTTAACTACCACCACCTGGAACTTAGCTTAACTGAGGCACATGGTGGTGCTATTTCCCCAATTCAATTCAGAAGCTGACACTTTCTGTTTATATCTGTTTAAACATTTCTTGTGTGTGTGTGTGTGTGTTCTGTGCTGTCAAGTCAGAACCAGCTTATAGCAACCCTAATAGGGTTTTTAAGGTAAGTGAAACATTTAAGGAGTGGTTTTACCAGTTCCACTTCCCCAGTCAGTTTCCATGGCTGAGCAGAGATTAAAACCCTGTTCTCCAGAGTCCTAAGTTGTCACTCTATCCAGTACCAAATATTTCTTAGAACTATTAAAATAAATGCAGCAACAGTTTGTCTAAAGTAACTAGTAATGAGGTAGGAGGAAAATAGCCAGATGAAATATGTCACCTTAGCCTCTACTGGTTTTCTGTAAGTGACCACTTGTAGATACTGTATTACTCACTTCCTCCTTAGGCCTCATCCCACCATCTTCAAAAAAATAGTTTGTTCTCTGTTCCCCTCCTTCTTCAGTAGAAGGTCAGCCATGAGGTGCCTCAGTGTTGGCTTGTTTTATCATCAGTGTATTTGTTGGAACAATAAGCATAAATACTTCCTTTTACCTTATCATGAGTTATTACTCCTACTCATAACCATAAACTCACCTTACTAGCCTGCCATACTCTTCTGATATATGATATAATTACCACATATTTCTGCCCAAACAGAGGTAGACAAAATGTAGCTCTCTAGATGTTGCTGGATTTCAGCAATATCAGTTTTACTCAGAAAAGCATTGTTGGTTAGTTTGCAGGCAGGACAATAGAGACAAGGTACATGAGACTGCTAGATGTTGGCATGCCGCTACATGCCACATTGGCACTGGACATCAGCCTTTGATTGAAAGTCAAGCCCTGCCTTCACCTTTTCTCCATCATGCATGGTAGATATGTGTGCAAGTCATGGGGGATGATGATCAGTGAGCACTGAGACTTTGTGATTACTGGTAATTCCCAAAGCCTGCCACACAGAGCTAGATTTACTTGCCATTTAGATCACCTTGGCCCACCTGTTTACTACTGTGAGGCCAGAAAGGGGGATAAGCAACACTGCCTTACACTTAACTTGGCAGACACACCAGGCAGGGAATGGTCAACTGACCATCCCTTTCCTGGGACCAGGATTGTCTTGCCCATAGGTCCTTTCCAGCTCCACAGTTTTAAGATGATTGCCATTATTATTAGTTATGGCAGACCAGTTGTTTATATATTGAAACAACATTTGCAGATGCAGCTTTATTTTAATAACTGTAGCCTAATTTAATCCAGCTCTGGACATCTTGTGTCTTTATTTCATCTTCTGTAACAGCCAACAGTAAGAAGTGCTGAGAGCTGTAATCCAACATACGGAGGGCTACTTTTACCCATCCCTGTCTTTGAAGGTTCACGTTTCTGTAGGAAGTTTTTTTAAAAAATATTAAAGCATTCTTGTTGTGTTGCCTTAAGTTTCCACACAGTATACGTTGCTTTATCCTACCCAATGTTCATCAGCTATTATTGGGTTGCTTTGGAATTCTTCACATATCTTTCTATTCTAGGCTAGCCTAAATAATATTTTCTCTGACTGACCACACAATGCCTCTTGCCAATTTATTTATAGAAATGCATCTAAAACCTTTTCCCAACCCACCCACTCTGCCTACAGGGTTGAGTCTAATGAACTGGGAACAGAAGGAAGATTACCATTAGTGCTGTTCACTGATGCTCGTACAAGAGTTTGTGTGGAAGAAGTCATGCAGTGCTTCAAGGGACTTCAGGTGATATGCTTCTGTTCATTCAACAAGTTCTGCCTATGAGAGTTCTTGCACAAGTAGAAAACAATTATAGTTTCCTGAATGCAGAACATCTTCTTAAGAGTAAAAGTAAATGTCTGGATTCTACCCACAGTGTTGGAATGTAACCTGATTTCTTAGCTGCTGAATGAACTCATCATGGCCTTATTTTCCTCTATTATTTAAATGGTGGAAAATCTTCTAGGGTGGAGATACCTTTCATTGAAAAGAAAACACCACTGTGGGTTGTGTCATTTTGACAGAAAGCACAGTGTGTGTTTGTATACATGGGCATGTTTGGGGGCATGGACACATACACAGTACTGTGTATGCAATATTAGAAAATGTTATTGCATGGTTGAGATACAGCCAAGTATATATTTTGTATTTTTAACCCAACCAGGGGGGTTGTCAACTAGGCCAGTGGTTCTTAACCTTTGTTACTCGGATGTTTTTGAACTGCAACTCCCAGAAACCCCAGCCAGCACAGTTGGTGGTGAAGGCTTCTGGGAGTTGCAGTCCAAAACTCCTGAGTAACCCAAGGTTAAAAACCAGTGAACTAGGCAATATCTACACTTCCTTGTGTTTGATTATTATTTCTTCTTCCAAGATTTCTTCTGTATCCCAGTCATGATTGAATCCAAATTAATGAGGTTCAATCAAGATTAATTGTGTAAAGTCTTTCTTCCAGACCAGGTCTTGTAGACTAAAATGTATTTGGCTTTGTCTGCAGCAAAATGTATGTATTCCAGCTGCCACAGAAGGATTTACTGAAGCTGAATGGTTGGAGATTCAGAATAGATAGAAAGAAACACTTCTTCATAAAACCGCTATAGTTAAATTCACTTCTACAAGGTGTTCTCATGGCTGCCAGCTTCATTGACTTCAAATGGGGATTACAAGCAGATAAGGCTGTGTAAGGTGTGTATTACCTCCAGTGTCAGAGGCAATATACCTTTAAATCCCAGTTGCTGGGGAAAGGAAGTACCATTCCACTCATGTCCCAATTTTGGTTCCCCATAGTAGGCAGCTGTTGGACCATTGTGTGAACTAAATGCTGGACAAGACAAGACTCCTTTGCCATGCTGACTGAGAGAGTGCGGAGTTTGTACTCTGAAAAAGAAACTTTCTCTGGATGGAATGTAAAAATTTCAGGTAAATAATAAATTAAATGTGTCCTATAATCAGAGACCTGAGCCAGAGTCATCTGATGAGTAAGACTCTTAAGACAATGTAGTTGGATGCTGCTGCACTGCTACAGTTTCCACTAAGAGTAGATCCAAATTTACTATCAAATAACTGGAAGTGTACAAAGAGAAACTTTGTTAAAAAAAAAAGAGTCATAGAAATTACAAAAGCTTTCTTACATCAGCCAAGATGACTGATCCTTAATATAAACAGTGAGGCCAGAACAGGAAGAAGAGGCTAAAATGTGGTTTTATTTACCAGAGTTGTGACTGTCTCATTTTAGCTAGTTGCAGTAACTCTGAACTTTGAATCTTTCTTAAACAGAGTTGTTCCTGGCTCTGAAATGCTCCCAGTTCTATTAATTTTGAGTAGCTATCCTGCTTAGCAACCTTTCACTGTATATGTAAAGTTCATGCAGGTGAGCAATATTTTTAGGAATTCTTATTTCTCTTGCTTTTACAATCCATGTTCAGATTGAACCAAGCTGTTAGTTTACAATACTGATTAGTACTTACTGGAAAATATATATTGCTAAGAAGGGGAAAACAGTAGGGAGAGAAAACAACCCAATATGAGATGTTGTTGATTTGTAAGATCAGAGCAGAGCTGCTAATGATATCATGTTTTGGAGGTCATTAGCTCTTCTGATAATCACACATCAGAAGTAACTTCATGGCACATAATATTTTTGGAGTTTTGTTCAATTACCAGAAAATTATATAGTGACAAGATGGCAGGAATAGTTGAAACTATGCCAGGATATAGGCACCAAAGATCTGCTAACATCAAGTAAGACCATCACCAGCCACAAAGCAAAACAAAAAAACAAAAACAAAAAAAGTAATTTCACAGCTTGAATGAGTTTCTGGACATTTCTTGTCTATTCTTTTTTTAAATCTTTAAAAATATTTTTACAGCCAGATACAAAATCCCTTTGACAGTACAAATGAATCCTGGTCAAGGAGTTTAAAAATTCTCCGCATGAGAGTTAGCTAATTAGGTCCTGACTGATAAGATCAAAGATTCAGATCACCCCAGACCCATTCGCCCATTCCTGTCCATTTTTGTTCACTGATGCCCAGCAGGTCAATGTTTATTCTTGCCATCTCCTGTTTGACCACATCCAGCTTATCAAGATTCATAGATCTTACATTCCAGGTTCCTGTGCAGTATTTTTCTTTGCAGCATTGGACTTTCCTTTCAGTTCCAGGTGCATCCACAGCTGAGCGTCCTTTCGGTTTAGCCCAACCATTAGCTCTGGAGCTACTTGTACTTCTCTTTGGCTCTTCCTCAGCAGCATGTTGGACACCTTCCAACCTGAGGGGTTCATCTTCTGGCTTCATATCTTTTAGCCTTTTGTTTCTGTACATGGAGTTTTCTTGGCAAAGATACTGGAGTGGCTTTTCAGTTTCTCCTCGAGGTGGATTGTGTTTAGTCAGAACTCTCCACTATGACCTGTCCATCTTGGGTGTCCCTGCACGGCATAACCCATAGCTTCTCTGACTTAATCAAGCCCCTTCACCACGACAAGGCAGCAATCTTGAAGGGGATTTTTGAGTTTACCTATTATTTAAAAGCTTCCTACTGCTTTTTAAATAATGAAAACCAATCACAACTTTTAGATTTAAGTAATGAAATTCAGATAATGTTCAGAACTTCACTTGGAAGTTTTACCTTGAAGGAGTTCATTGTTATCCTTATTAATAAACTTCCAAAAATGTTGATGTTGAACTTTCTCCACATGTCAGGTTCTTATTGCCAAAAGATCTATTTGTCTCATGATTATACTTGATATTCAGCTGACATCAAAGCACTGTTAATTGGCTTTAGAAGTCAACTTTTTGTCCATTACCATTCTGTGTCTATTAATAATAAATGGTTACACTAAGAGTTTACTTTTAAAAAAACTGTTGTTTGAACAAAAGAACACACTGTGTTTTGACAAAAGTTCATCTAGAAGTAAGGAACACCCACATAAGATCAGGACTGAGGTTTGCTGTGGTTTTGTTTTTTCACTCAATGTATATAGTTTCCAAAAATACAGGTGGCTCTCAAGACCACCACAGAATTTGGGATGTCCTACTTGCACTACGATTGGGACTTGATAGCCAGTAGGCAGTGGCACCATATTTTTTTTTCTGGAGTGGCTTTCCAAGACCTGTCAACTAGCAAGTAATGTTAAACAAGTTGTGTGGGACTTTTAGAGGAAGTATCAGACCCAGGCCATGGCTATTCAGCAGGGCCAAGCTTCTAATTCAAAACACATTCCAATACTGTATTCTTGTCCCTAAAGCCAGATCTCCCTCCAGTTACAATAAGAGCTGAGAAAATGCAGAAAATTGAAGAAGTGAGAGCCAATCTGGAGGTAGGGCTGCCAGAATTAATTTCATGTCATTAGTGAGCTGGGTAGAAAAGATAATTGTTCCAAACGAAGCTTCTCCCTCAGCACCATAGTAGAATGTGGAGACAAGCCATTAGAAAATCCCAGATGGTTTCATACATTGTGTTGTGTCCCCACCAAGTACATTGCGTGCAGAACAGATGAGCGCTGCCAATATTGGACCATCTCACATGATTGTCTATAGGTCACGCTGCCTCGTGGTGCAGTGGTTAAACTCCTGTACTGCAGCCAAATCTCTGCACATGAGCAAGGTTCAATCACATGTAGCCAGCTCAAGGCTAACTCAGTGTTCCATCCTGGAAGGGCAATGTGTGGCCTGCATAACTAAAATTCTAAATAACTCAGAGAGTGCTTTAAGCTCTGCGGGATGGCATATAAGCAGCACACTTTGCTCTCTTTTTTTGCATGTTCTTCCAAAAAGTGCCTCAGACAGGTTGCATTTATATTGTCTATCCATGCTAAAAATACGTACTTTAGGATCAATAGATCTGTTTCAGCACATGTCATTTTTTCTCTCTCTCTCATCCAGTTTCCAGACCTAGAAATTTGTTTGGAGCTTATATATATATTACTGACTTGAGTTCACCAACTCAAGCGCCTGCATTTTATTTCTATTCTAATGTCGTATGTTCCAAATAAATGTGTGTATCTCTCATTTAAATTAAATATAACGTTATATAGAGTTTTCTGGGCTTTTTTATCTTTCTCAGACGTAGCAGCTTTCTGATTTGAGATTATTAGTGACTTTTCTGTGGTTACTTATTTTCAACATAGTGTGGAGGGGATGAGGATCACAAATGGCACCCCTGTATCATCCATCACTCAACAGGAAACTCAGAACCAGCATACAAACAATGAACACCACATTTACTAGGAACTATCTACAACATTTCTGCGTCAACAGGTCTTCCCGCAGAATGCATCAATGGGGAATCAGCTATTTTCCCGTGCACAATGTCTATGTCACCCTCCTCCTGTTCCTCCTTTCTGCCAATGGCCCCAAGCTCTTTCTCCAGCTTCTTTATATTTCTGACTTTGCAGGAACTTTCCTGGGTGGGCTCTTTCCCAATTCCTGGCTCTTCCTGGCTTCCATGTTCCTCCAACACCTTGTTTCAATTGGAGTACTCAGTCCTGGGGAGTATCCATGGGAAGGCATCCAGCCTGTGCCAATCAGACAGCATTGGTGGCAGGATATGGAGGCCCTCTCTGAGTATCTGCATTCACCTGCTCACACACAGCCATTACAAAACATTAGAATTATACTCTAGTCTAGTAGCATGATCAATTTAATCCACACCTGTTTAACACAACAATCACATTTGATGCAGTTCTGAAAGTTGTGGCCACAGAGATCATGCCAGCTGACACACTATGTGTCTGACAACATCATAAACTCATAGGCTGAAATATTGTTTGCACAACTATTCCCATGCATGGCTAAGGATGCCGTTATCAGGGGTGAATTTTCAGAGATTAAGCATTTCCTGCTTCTGTCCTGAGGCTCACACAGCTCTTCTGCAATCCTGGTCATTGTTGGGAAGCCACTGAAGCTGCAGGACAGGAGGAGGAAGCCTTTAATTACCAACAGTCATTGCTAGAGGTAACATCATTCCAGTTACAGTGGTGCCTCGCTAGATGATTGCCTCACAGGATGAAAAACCTGCAAGACTTTTTGCGATTACTATGGTGCCTCGCAAGCCTTTTTTTCTATGACTGTGCTTTGCAAGACTTTTTTTTTTGAGAACGATGCTTTACAAGACTTTTTTTTAGACTGATGCTTCGCAAGGCTTTTTTTCTTTTCTTTTTTTTGAGACCGATGTATAGGGAACCTAGCAAGATGATTTTTTCACAAGACAACAATTTTCAAGGAATGAATTAAAATAATCTTGCGAGGCACCACTGTACTATGTTCTAAATTTTAGGTTTGTCATCACCTTATATTCCTCATATTTCCACCACATCATCAGGATGACCCATGGAGTTTGTATGGAGTACTCCAAAATATTTCTGCTTTTTTCCCTCCATTTTATTTAGCACAATTCTGAGAAGAAATAACATAAAGAGATCATTATGAAAATATTACGTTGACCTAACAGTATAATCTCTTCTGCTACTTTGGAACATTTGGTTCTTCTTTACAGCATGCCATTTGCTGCAGAAGTTGTGTTGGTGTTCACTCCTTTGCTGAGTAGGTTTGAGGGGAGAAAATGTTTCTTCTCCCCCCTCAAGAAGAAATGTTGATTAAGGTCCCCAAAGAACATGCTGTTTGCATAAATACATTGAAATCACTTCATAATCTCATTAATCATTGCTTTCAGACATTACAGCAGAAATAGAAAGTGTTTCTTTTTTGGACTATAACCCAGAATACCCCAGCTGCCAGACAGCACTGCCTGGAGTATTCTGGGAAGTGTCATCCAAAAACAAAGAAATGTCTCCTATCTCTTTCTTACATATGCAATCCAGGAACAGGTCATATCAATCAAGTCCTATTGCAATAATCTCCAACTGCATGAATATTGTATTCTTAAAGGATTTCACAGCTGGGATCTGATGGCTGTTGTAG